TCCATTGAAATAGTTGGTGGCATGTAAAGTTGAACAACGGACTAACTGAATGTAGCTTTTTCTCTTTCCTCCAAATATCATACACCTTCAGCCACTTTTGTCATTAAATAAATAACAAAAGTAAAAAAGAAAATCGCTACATTACTAGCGTAGTAGGCACCGTCAGGCAAAAAATCCTCTCCTTTTGTACGTACTAATGTAAATTCAAATATTATCGTAATATAACAGCACTTCAAGTGATGTTTAGAGTGATTATTTCACGAATTAAGATATTACGATTATTTCACGAATTAAGATACGAAAAAGATAAATATTACTCAAAATTGCCAACGGAATATGTGAAACTTTCATTTAGCTCCAAATGATCACTGCCTGCTGGAATAACTTATAGTAATGAAGTAAAATATAAATAACAGTTGAATGCAGAAAAATGATTTCAAATATGATTCGATTTTATGGTAATAAAACTTTCAAGAACAGTAATAACAAAGCTACTTACAACAAAATTTATTAAAAACACAATTATTAAAGTTGTAGGAAGTTGGGTTTTCGATGTCTTGGTATTCCGTTGAAGACTTTGAAATGGAAGATGTACAAGTTAAATAAGCAGGCAATTGATTCGTCAATTTCGAATGGATTGAACACACGTGTGAACTCATTAAAGTATTTTCCTGAATAATTTTGGTTCTCTAGCATATTGTTTGTACTCTTTGCCATCTAATCTTTGCATATTAATTGTCTAAAATATGTGTAATTTCTTCATTTGTAGTTTGTGCTGTCCATTTATATTTTCTTCGTAATATTCTTGAAATTGCTTGCACACACTTTCTCTGTTTCTTTTACTGTTTTCGGAACCGAATATCCAATAATAGATTATATTTTAGTTTTAAACATTACCAAAAAGACACATTTTGATATTATATTGATGCTCACAAGATATTACGGGCCTAAAACAATTGCTATCTTTATCTTAAAAAGGTCAACAAAGTGAATATAGCGGAGTGCAAAAGGTAAACAAAGTGATAAGCACATGGCGATAGACATCTGGGATTGGTTGAATTTGAATATATTCTTACTTATCATTAGTTACTTGCGACACGGACAGACATGAGTGAAATAGTATGCATAGTTTATGCATTTCACTGTGTAATAGTTGTCATTATTCACGGTGTGATAATTGCGAATAAAGAGTGATACTCTCGCAAACGTTCACTTTTAAGCAATCGTATTTTTCATTAAAAGGATTCAGCGTTCAGGAAACGAGGAAGTCGATGCGCTGAGATATACTAGACCAATGATTTTTCTTTAGTTGCAATCTTTTGATCTTTTGTAGTGTACCATTTGGCGAAACACTTTTTTTCAATTTTTTTCCCTTTAATTAGTTTCGATCTTACAACAAAAAAGAAACATTCTGTTTCTCATCTGCTTTTTTCTCTTTATTACCATATGTTCAAATGGAGCTATTTCCACTTTAAAAGAAAATATTTTTCTTAATTTCGGATTACAACCATTGAATGATATCGAAAATCACGTTCAATTCTACTTTAAAGTATATTTCCCATTTAAATTCACTCCGCACTTTGTAAATCTGTGTAAAGGTAGTTAGTTGCGTCAATTCTGTTGAAACTTGCCGAAAATGGAAATTTACAATATTATGTAATTTTACCTGATTGTTGTGAAATATCAATTATTTAATACATAAAAATTGACTATAAAACCAACCGACGAAGGAGAGAAAGGAGGTCGAATGGGATGAACACGCAGAGGGGCTGAGCAGAGCAGCATTTTGTGTAATTGTGTCGAATCGAGAAGGGTCGCGACGGGGCAACAGAGTGCCGACATATTTGTGGCTCCACTATGCCAAACCCACGCAATTGCCGCAAAGTACACTCCCCCCTGCAATTGCCAATTATGACTTGAAAGAAGGCAGGTAAATCACAATGATCGCCACTTGCAGTAATCTGTAGGACAGCTGTAACTAGGGACCAGCAGCACTCGAAATTGGCATCAATAATTAGTAAAATGAGTGTAAGCAGGGGGAAACTAACCACATTCGATGGTGATTACTTGATAAACCGAAGTCGGTACGCGAGACACCATCACATTATCTAACCAGATATCTATGTAAAATATATCTGCGATTCAACATCCATAAAGTATACATTGATATATGTATGAATTGGATATTCTAAGTTTTTCTTTTTTTTCTTCTTTTTTCACTCTTATAAAAATGGCGCAGATCCGATATTCGTTGAATTTTCGGAATTTTCGAAACTTGCAAATGTTAAAAATATTTTCGATGACTTCCTACATCAATAGTGTTATGAGATTTCTCTTAATACAATATGTTCTTCGAGATTTGATATTTAATAATGGTCATGAAATGTTTTTGAAAATACTATGAATAATTTTCGCTTAAAAAAAATTTTTAAACAAGATTTACTTAAAAACTGTTGCAAGTTTTACTTTCACGCCCTTAGTTTGTAAGAAGAGAAAGTATTGTAATCGTTTTACGGAAAACTGCGAATTTTCGACAGAAAAACTCTCATTGCTGGACTCTGGAAAAGCAAAAGGGAATAAATCTTGTTCATTTAAATAGTAAATCACTTTCACTAAAACGTCTTGTACACTGAATCCATCCCTTATGGGTCCTTGATACCGAAAAATGGATTGACGGCGAAACGTCTGTCCGTCTCCAGTCAACGCTAGCGCCTAAAACATTCCACCGATTGTTTCTAAAATTGATATTTCCCGGTCGATTTAAAGAAACTCAAGGTCCTCTTAGGTTGAAGTGGATATTTTGATTTTGGGTGTACTTGATATGAAGCCTCTACAACATTTTCAAGATTTTCTCAAAAATTGCTCCGAATTTTTCGATTGAATGCACAATTTTTCAAAAATATGAGTAGTTTTTACGGAATTTGTGCTTGCAATCTACGCAATTTGTAAAAAAAAATTTATCAACAATCGCTCCATTTTCCCCTACGAATATAACAGGGAACGCTTACAAGAACAACATACTTTTCATTTTCGTTGAACTCTGTGAATATTGAAAATTTAGAAATAATACGAGAAAGAATGTACTGTTCTTGCACCACTAACTTTCTTTATTTTTACATTCTCGCCCTTAGGAAGGTACTTCGTAAGAAGAAAAAGTTATGAAATCGTTCAGAAAATGGCGAAATTGAAATCGTCGAAATGGCGAAAAGTTATCAAATCGGTCAGAAAAACTCTTCTTGCCGGCCCTAGGTAACGAAAAAGTTAATTTGTTAAATATAGAAATTGTTAAATATAGAAAAAAATCCTGTAACATCTGGTGTAGCCAGTATCCATGTTTTGTGGATCCTGGATACCGCGAAAAATCGATTGACGGCAAAACGTCTGTCTGTGGTAAACGCTTAAATTTTTTTGAAGGATAGAAGTGATGATTCTTAAAGGAATGATGCGGGTCTAATTTTCGTCGAACTCTGTGAAGTTTCGAAAATTGTAAATTTATAAATAATGTGACAAAAAAGTATGTACGTTTGTACTATTAGCACTTGTTTTTTCTTTTTTTATTTCCTGAAAAAATTGCAATGGAAAAAAATCCGTTTGAAAAGACACTCCATAGATTAGATTTCAATTCAGTCAAAAAACACAGTACGAGAACTGTATGTGACGCTAGGGAAAAATTATCTGCGCACTTTTCTTGAGTTCCAACTCCCTTTCCTATGTTTAACCTATAAATAGTTGAAGATGCAGTAAAAGTTTAACATGAAGATAAAATAAAAAATAAATTTTTAAAATCGCCGAAGATTAGCAGTATTTGCCAATAAAGTCATTTTCCATTTTCTGAGTTATAGAAAACCTATTTCGGTATCTATCATTATGCCAGCAATAAATAACGTAATTCGTATGGTTAAATTCATCTTTCTACTAAGGTTCAGAATCGCAGAAATGATAAATCGTTTGTTTATAGTGATTTGGGAAATCGATTCTCGGTGATAACCAATATTAAACTTAATGAATTATAAAGGTCAGGGCCGGCGCTACCTGTAGGCAAACTGGGTGATCGCCAACACCACAATTTTGGTACATTTTTTATAACAAATATATTTTTGTTTTTATTTATTGGTATTGATCACATTATTAATAAAATAATTGTATATTTTATAAGAAGAAAGTTTCGATATGCATAATTTATTGTGTCAATTATCGAATTCATTTTAGTTAATCACTATTGTTTTGTATTCGTATTCTGAACAATAATAAGTACACGTTTTCATTATTTCTCTAAATAAAGTATTTATAATCAGATTGCATTATCTCTACAAAATGTTCTGATAAGTATATTATGAACATATCATCATGATATATGAATGTTAGAAATAACACGAGCTTGAATAGAGAGATCCGAATTTCTACTCACAGATTTTTGAACATTAATATTACATTATTGGGGAGGGGGACGCACATATCCCATTTTACCTTAGGCTCAAAATCATTTAGCGCCGGCCCTGACAAAGGTCATTATAGCACACATGAAAGCGTACTGAAATCTTGAACCGATAATCCGGATGGAACATATTATCTAAAGAACCAGATAATCTGAAGTAAATTCTAATGCATCGATTCACTTTTTGCATTTTTCTTTCGCGCTACTTCTATTTTCCTCTTACTACACTTATCTGACCATCCGTGTATCTACCACTGACTGTAACAAACTGGACGCTCCATCAAAGGCGTTTACTGGTGTACCTGTTATACGTCGTGAACACATACTACTGTGACTAGAAATGACTAAAAGTGGTGGGTTTCTTAGCTGTAACGTATTACAATAATTTGACTGTCACATTTACTTTAATAAACTACAAACTTCACTGCGACGCTGGACCACACAAGTAATGAACTAACAAGAAGGTATACTGTTTGCCCATAAAATGACGTCAATAAAATCTTGAGTACTGTGACAGGTCCTCCTCCTCCTCTAAGACAACGTGGCTTCCGCAGTGCTACCACCTGGTGGGCAGGGGAAGGAGCTTTGAGATGGAACGTGTTCAGTGTGGTGTAGTGGTGGCAACCAGCAAAGAGATTGCTAGTTGTTGAGCTCGTATGTTGCGTGGTGCTGCGTGTACAGTCTGTCGTGGACTATCACTGATTTGGTTAAAAATGAGTGCGAGAATGTATGAGCTGTGAGCAAACAATGTCATGTAAATAGGTAATTATGCATTTTAATGTAGCGCTAAGTTTTGTTAGCAAAAATTTAATGATAAGGCTACTCCCTCACTGCTGTTTCGTATTTGCTTTATTGCTTGTAATTCATCATACCGTGTTGTAAGGTTCCTTAAAGCATGCATTATACCAAGATCCTACATGACAGGCGATACTTTCGAATACGCGGAATTTTCGTGTAAGGGATCATTTACCTTTAATGAGTGAACTAAAATACGCAATATAGGTAGTGAAAATGCTTTGTTTTTTTTCTATACTCTTTACTGTGCTAATAGTCTCCTCCTTTTCAGATTCCCGCATCTCAAACGTGACGTTCCAAGCAGAAATTCGTCTTACGAATTAACAAATGATTTCCTACGCGGGTTATTATACAACATATCGGTGTGGTTGTGAAATTGAATTCAGAAAAGAAATAGTGAAATGATTGGATGAGATATGTTACTTGTACATAATAATTTTTGTTTGTAAATAATAGTGCTGCAGTGAAATTTATAATTCAACATGTTCAGGACTAAAGTTCGTATTCATACATGTAAAGTGATATTACTGACATCATTGGTGTGGTTGTTAATTTTTGTAGGATTATTAACATTCTATTCAGATTGTGTGGGTGGTTCAGGCTGGGGGTGTACTGGAACTAGCAATAATGCTGCAGCACAGTTAAGCAATCAACATCATCAAAGGAAACAACAGGGAGTTGTCGAGGGGGTTAATGATGAGCCCCAAGCTAATGGAGAGAAAGAAGAAACAAATAATGGAAAATATGCTGCATCAGAACTCAGGCGTTGGAAGGCAGCTCCTCCAGTGAAACCTCAACTAGGCATGCCTGGAGAACGTGGCAAAGCTGTTCATATTCCAGCCCATCAAGAGGCACTAATGAAAGAAAAATTCAAACTGAATCAATTTAATCTTCTTGCCAGTGATATGATATCTTTAAATAGGTCTCTTGTTGATGTAAGATTGGAAGGGTAAGATTTTGTATGTAAGAAGTGTGAGATTTTACATTAATATTTGTTTTCATATTTCTGATCATAAAGAGCAGCTTATTTAAAGAAAATTTAAATTAACCATTCATACTCTAACATTAATGAAATCGTGCAATAATGCTTCTAATCTTCAGTATTAAATGTAATACCACTCTTTGCATTAAAATTTGTGTTCTGTATGAATAGTGGTTTTGAAAAAACTTTAGTTCATATGTATGAACCTTCATTTTTAATTCAATCATTTTATTGCAGGTGTAAAACTAAAATGTATCCGAAACTGCTGCCAACAACATCAATAGTAATTGTTTTTCACAATGAAGCCTGGTCTACACTTTTGAGAACAATTTGGAGTGCTATTAACAGATCTCCTCGCCCATTACTTAAGGAAATTATTCTTGTTGATGATGCCAGTGAGAGAGGTTGGTTTGTGTGAAGTTTTAAAAATGTCATTGTGACATTTAGCTATACACTTAATATGCATTACAGAAATATTTGGTCAGAAGAGATGATGTTTTTTTTATCTCGTGTTTAAACCAGCAAAGGAAATGTATTCTTTCAGAAATTCAATACAATTTTTAGGATTTTTACGAGAACACTTTGGAAATTATTTTGGTGAGGTTGCTGGTTATTAATAGTTTTTGTGAGTGTTGCTGTTTTTCAACTCCAAAACCTTTTTCAATTAAGAAATTTAAATTGTAATGAAACTGAAAATGTGACAAATGCTTATTCAAGTCAAATTATTCTATTTATAACTTGTTTGAAAAATTTCTATGGGAAAACACAATGTGGAACCTTTATCTAGATATTTTATTTTTCTTATAGCTTAAGTCTGCACAGAAAATCAATGTGAAGGAGAGAGAAGGCAGGCATGATTGGGCATATGCAATCTAAAACGGGCAGGGCCAAACCTAATTCTGGGCTGCCTGTACCATTAAGCTTTGTTTATTTGCATACACAATATTTTACTGGAAAATATATAAAACATACTCCAAGAAGAATTAAATTATAACTTTAGTGACTCAATTTATAAATATATTTGGTTAAAATTTAGTATACGGTACACCCTTAGAGAAGCGTGGCGGTGGGGCTTAAGCCCTAATTACTGTAAGTGCTCTAATAGAAAAATAAAACTTACAGATAGGCGATTTTCAAGGTTCGCAAAGATATGCTTCATATGCTTTGTCCCCACCATATTGTAACACCAATTTACTTTCAAAGGCAAGTTTTCTTGCTTCGCTCGCCCGGATCTAAGTCATGGCGAGGCTTGGGCCTTCAGCCCTCGTGTTCACTATAAACATCCTTGAGTCTACCCAACGCATAATTACCAAAACACCTTTATAAGACATCACTTTTCAAGAAAGCCTCCAGAATTCTAACTGCCGGAACGGCGTGAAGTGCCGGTTTAAACGACTTCCCTAGGTTGTACCGTATACTACATTTCAGCCATATATTTTATGGTGAACCATTTACAGGGTTGCCAGGTGGCTTGGAGAGTCTCATCCCCAAAAGTTAACAATTTTTGTAATTTAAAAATCTGTTAAAAAACGTTTTTGTATGTGTAATTTACAGCAATTTGCCTGAAAATGAGAATATACTAATTCTCGAAGTTTTGCAACAATATACCAGTTTTGCATCCAATTTTTTTAAATAAATTGTTATTGATGTGAACTTCTGTTGACATTATATGCTTTTAATGTTTTTAAAATTGTCTGTCATGTGTAAAAAGCTTTGATGAGAGTTGTGACAACTGTTAAGGTGGTGAATTTGATTCCTGTGTAGATTTTCATCGTCTTGTTCCATGAACGAAAGGGTTATATAGCAGGAAGTAAGGTTTTAAGATCAGCTCTTAAACTTTTAGATTTCTCCAAAGTAACATACCTCCTTCAACATCATAGCATCTGTCATGGAGTATTTTAGAGAGCTGGAGGAAGTGTCAGATTATCATTTATCGTTTTGTTATTAGCCAGGAAAGCCAAGCATCAATACATTGTACTTAGTTGTTGATGTATTTGGGATATGCCACTAGAAGAAAAAGTTTTGTACAGTTGTCACAGTGTGCTATTCTCTTCACAGAGCACCTGGGTCGCCAACTGGAGGAGCATGTAGCAGGCCTGCCTGTGCCAGTCCGTGTGTTCCGCACAGAGAAGCGTTCTGGGTTAATCAGAGCACGACTCTTGGGAGCCAAACATGTGAAAGGTCAAGTCATCACGTTCCTGGATGCTCATTGTGAATGCACAGAAGGATGGCTGGAACCTCTGTTGGCTCGAATAGCTGACGACAGGTCAGTTGCATCTAGTGTATGCAAAGGACTCTGTGGGTGAGATGGCTCAGGGCTACAATTGTTGCTACTGGATTGTGTCGGGCCTGGAGGCCCTAGATTCGGGCCCTGACTTTTGACATACACGTGTAAGCTGAATAGCTAGGTCAATATCACTTGCTCTCTGCAGGAAATTTCTAGGACTGGTTGCTGCGGTCATTATTTTCCTCTGTGTGTGTGTGTGTTTTTTGTTTTTTTTTTGCCTGGTATTCTGATCAATACCAGGCAGACGTCGAAGAAGTATCTTAACAAATGACACATGTAGCATCCACAATCTCTTCCTTGTACCTTCCTCTCTCCTTACGTACACACACTCGCACACAATGCCTACAATACATGCATTACATGTCTATTCGTGTTGGGTCACCAGTTGGGAGCATAGAGCTAGCTCATCCTGATTCGGTTCGTGGTCAGTGGGAGAGATACCTTGTTAGGGAAAGCAAGCATGTCGGCATAGACGTTGCCACTGAATCTTGCATGCCAGTGGGGAATGTGCGCTATGACCTCGCAGCTGTAATATGCCCTATACTTGCAGAACTAATGACAAAAGTTGTTGATGTGCCCACAAATACTGTATACTCGCTTACTCACTCAGAAGGACATGGATCGTTTGCATTACTTTTCTTATGTTGTTTAAAATCTTAACAAATATTTATATTTTTCAATGTCCATTAAATAAGTGATACATATATGAAAATACTCATTCAAATGGTATATGTAAATTCTTAAATTTGCCATTATATTTGATGTTTGATTAAGATGTAAAAATGATCAGTTCCATGCGGATGTTTCTGAATAATACCAGTTCAACATTTCCCCTGTAATTTGGTAAAATTTTCTCAACCCTTCTTTTCTAATTCTTCTGTTGTGAAAATATTGGTCAAACTATGACCTTTAGAATGAGGGTTCGTTTCCACTAGGCATTCAACTTTTGAGTTCAGACAGTTGATAATAAGTTGATTAAATATCTCCAAGAGCCTTTTTCCTATTGTCCACGTTGGACTTGCTGCCCTCAACTCAATGTCTGAGCAAGTCTGTCACAGATTATTTTAAAAGTAACTAGGTGAAAACACCATAGTGTAGAAGTTAGTCATTCTTTATTATTGTCCAAGATGTGACAACACAAAGCATTTATAGTCCTTTGATAACCGAAACTTAACTGTGCAATATTATGTAACAGTTAGTACTGTTAATGTACACAGTTTATTGTTTTGTGGATCTTTTTTTGTCCCCAACGACCTATGGAGAGAGGGAGGGAGAAAGAGAAGGGGAGAAATGGTGACATTGCTGGGGCTCTGAGAATGAGTGTTATCCACCACAATAGAGCCAAGGTCGTGGAGGAGGAGACACAAGTGTAAAAACACTAGTGCTTTTAAAGTTAAGATAAAAGGTTGCTTCCAACATTGATAAGAAACTATTATTTATGATAGACTAACTGACTTTGATGAAATGACTATCTCCAAATTGTTGTGAAAATATATGCTGCTAAAAATTGAAGCCTACCTTGCCTTTGGGTAGTAGTTTTCATTTATTTGAATGCAATTAATGTTTATTTCTTTGGTCTCTTTTTAGGAAAACGGTTGTGTGTCCCATCATCGATGTTATATCAGATGATACTTTCGAATATATAACAGCTTCTGATATGACTTGGGGAGGTTTCAATTGGAAGCTGAATTTTCGATGGTAAGTTATCCTAATTCTTGTTTTTGAAGGTTTATACACATTCTGCAAGAATTTTGGATGTAGTGTTAACTTACATAAAAGTGTTGAATTGTGTTGGAGAAAGTGGTGTATCATCAAAGTTAAATGAGAAGTAGCGAGTGAACCCAGGATGTAGATTCCAATTTAAAGAACATGTGTCTCTGAAGTTGGGGAGTTGCCATTCTTATATTTATAAACATTTTTACCTGAATATAAGACAATCCTCTAATTTGGGAGAGGCCTCCTGGAATTAAAAAAAAAAATTAACTAACTTTTCCTATTTAGTCAAAATAAAATTGCAAATAGTCTGATAGAACACAGTCTTGTTTATGAAAATGTTAAATTTTATTGCCTCAGATATCACTATTTTCTTCACCCTAATCATTTTTTTGTCACTATTATCTTCACATGTATAATTGTTTCTTTCTTTTTGGTCTTTCTCTGAAACAGCGATGCCCTCTTGACTTTTTAGGACCCTCTGAAAATTTAGCACATTGAATTTGCATTCATACCCTTTCTGCTTAAGAATGTTCCCTTCTGTGTCATCAGATTTTCCTCCTCTTCCACTTTTGTTTTGTGGCCTCTGATGCTTTTAAGAGAGTATACTTGAAATTCACATTATTAATGACGGTCATGCAATTGAGTTCTGAGCTGCAAACTCTGTTTTTCCATTTTGTGGATAATGTTGGAGAGTGTGACAAGATTCCTAGTTTTTACTTTGAAAATTTTTTTTCATCTCTTTCTTTGTAGGGTTGTAGGATGCGTAATCCTATCAATGTGCATTTTTTTATTTCCATCTCTTGAAAAACGCAGATTTGCTCTTACCAGGTGATAAACTAAGAGTCTACGCAGCCTTATTGATCAGTTCTTAATGTAACAAAATCTTGGCAACGATTTATTTTCATTTTCTCATTGTGTTTCACTTGATACAATGCCATTCGTTTGAAATTATTCTCTTTTTACCGGTCTATTTGTAAATACAGGATCTAAATCACTTGGCAAATTGTGGTGTCGGCTGAGAATATGTTCATGAATAATTACGAATTATATATGTGTGATATTTTTATTGTATTAACAGCTTGTTGCTAAATCAGCATTTACAAGTTTTGTGACAGGGAATGATAATGTAAAAACATTCCTAATGTGGTTTTTATGAAATACCTTTCTGAGTAAACTCTTAAACAAAGTAATTTTTTGAGAATATTTCTTTTCTGATTTGTTTGTGCCCCAATGTAACATATTTCATATAGTTATTTATATCATACAATTTGTTTTATTGCAGACGTTAAATAAGTGTTTTGTGTTTAAAATGAAAAATAAAAATCCACTAGGCTTAATCTGTGAATTACAGAAGACCATGTATTTTTTAAATGAAATATTTAGGAAGATATATCAGTGTTGTGTTTGGCTAAATACAGTGTAAGTGAAAATAATTTTTTATAAATTTGCATTATATGCATTTTGCAGGTACCGTGTTCCTCAACGAGAAATGGACCGTCGGAAGGGAGATCGCACAGCACCATTGCGAACTCCAACCATGGCTGGTGGACTGTTTTCCATTGACCGTGATTACTTTTATGAATTGGGAGCATATGATGAAGGAATGGACATCTGGGGTGGAGAGAATTTAGAAATGTCATTTCGGGTAAGTGTGCTTGATTATTGTTCTTAAAACATTAATTTTCAATGCACTTCCTCTAAATTAGATGCTTTTGATTCTTTTGGAAAAGTTTGAAAATTAGTGAGGTGTTCACTAATACGTAATAATCAGTTCTAGGAGAAATTATGCGTTGCTGTGTAATTCTGTGAAGATGTTCAATGTATTTACATTATTGGGTGTCTTCTAGGATACTCAACGTATAAAATTTACAAACCTTTTGTGTTTGGAAATTTGAAAATCATCATTATAAGTTGTGATTAATTTCAAAGAATTGTATTTATCATTGACATCAGATTTTTATTTGTAAATGGCTTTTAATCATTTTGTCATCATTTGTGTAAATAAATGATGAGGAGATTGTGGCTTTAAAAACAGCTGTTACAAATAAATCAGTTGACAGTGATGACTATTCTTACCAATGAAAAGTCATTAGCACCTCTTAGAATTTCCACAGTTGTGGTGTTACAGCACAAAACCTTTAGGAGTAGCATACAATGAGTGTGATCTGCCATCATGAGTAGGGCAGACTTTGCAGCTTGTTATAATCACCCTGCAAATTGATTTTAGATTTCGATTTATTTAGTTAAAAAACCATTAAAAAGCTGTGTGTGATGAATGGGGGTGAAGATGATCTGCACGTGTTTTCTTGAGTTCCAGAATCCCTTCCCATCATTCTAACTATAAATAAATAAAAATAAATTTTTAAAGAAGCGCGAGATTAGACATTTTCTTTCCTGAGTTATAGAAAACTTATTTGCATCAGTAAACGAATTGCAGGTATGATTTTTCTGCATTGCTAACAAAATAGTGACTCGCTCTTACCTCTACTCCTATCATTACAAGCAAAAGGAGAGTTCAACAAAACCTGCACATAGTGAAGTTACATGATGTGATTGTGGAATGGAATGGAATGGAATGGAGAGACTGTCACTCGTCTTCACTGTTGCCCGTGTCTTTATCAGACTCAGAAGAGCTTCTCAATGACAATCATTTCATTTATTTTCCTTCGTGTACTGTCTGTTTTTGCACAAGTTTTTTCAATATTTTATTTACATTATAAAAGTTAATCTTCTCTCTAATTGAACCACCAATATAAATATCAATATGTTTTTTCTTCTTTTTGATTTGTTAGTGTGGAAAATGTAAGAATCTTTTGCTGGAAAATTTTTCACTTCACAAATATTTGTTTTTAATGTGAAGTCAAATAAACCAGTAGCTTCATTTCTCATCGTGAAATGTTGGCCCTTTACTTGAGCTTAATTTTTAGGTAAAATAATCATGAACTATAAACTATTTTTCATACCTGTTTTCTGAGGAGTCTATCAGACACAATGTTTGATGTAGGAGCAGTAATATACACAAATCACTAAGCCACTATATTTTTTAATATTAAATTCATATTAAAAACTCCGTTTATTATGCCGACGAAGTTAACAATTATAAACCGTCCAAGCGAAGTGTAGGACTGAAGAGAGACCAGCACATCTTGGAAGTAACAACAGCGACAGTTGCATTGTGTGTTATAGGTGGGGCGGTGTAGTCTGGTATTTTCAAGTTTCTGTTCCAAAGAAATAAAACATTTTTGCATAATGGAGTAGGTAATGCTAATTAACTAGCCCAATTAGTATTTCTTCAGATAATTTTTCTTACAAGCATCACATTAATTCGATCACTCAACCAAACACATACATTACCTTGCATTTTTTGGGAATCAGTTAAAGAAAAAATTTCTGGATACTTTTCATTAAATCGAATAATGTCATGTACTCAAGTTGTAGAATTTGTTGTGTTTGAGTGGGATATGTGGTTACTTCTCATTCTTCGTCCGTTCTTCATATCACCAGTATTTATTAATGTAATTATCATATGCATCAGTATTTGATTTTAAATGGTCTGTCACAGGTATTGTTGGACTTATTGTAAGATTGCATTTCCAGAGGGTCATAGTTATGTCTTTGGGCCTTGGTCTATCATTATTTCAGTTTCCAGTTGCACTGAGTATATACCAATAGCTCTCCACACTCCCCTTGGTTGAGTTATAGGTCTACGCCAGAAATGTAGTGTACATGCTGAATGCTTTGCAAGTCAGTGATACTGAACAGCTGGACTGTATGTTATTATCTTTTACTAGACTTTTTTTGGTTCATTAGTTATGGGATACACTGCCCTGATTGGGGCATATTTAAACACTATTGATTTTGATTTCACAAGTGGAATAGTCATAATTAAGAAATTAAAGGAGAAACATCTCAAGATGAGAATATCAATGATCTTAGCTAGATCTTTAACCCATGAGCTTTGGGAGTCTCTGGAAATGACAATAATTTCTTATGAATTGACACTGGAATACAGTCTGCCCATAAATGGAGACTGTCTAGCATATTTGCATTCCACTTGAATAAGAACTCCTGGGCCAACTCGTTTGGATTTTGCTGGCAGTAGCCTATCATGTATGTATGTTTTTAGCATTTTGGTTGATTGTCTGACTTTGCCAGTCAGCTAATGATGTCCCCCATGCCAGGACCTAGTTTAATTTCCACTGTTGGGGGCAAGAGAGACGTGTGGCAAACATGACTTATGCCCTTCCCTGTAACTAGCAAGTTCCATCTGTCAGAGTTTTTCTTCGTCGCTCAGCTACAGAAACGAGACGATTTTACGATAAAGCTTCACCTCTATTTTTTCCTCGAAGTACCCCATCTTTCCATCATCAGTTTCATATTGCATTTGCATGCCATGATAATGGCAGATAAATGTATACTCATAAAAGAAGCTAATTAATTCTAAATTTAGTTCAACACACCACATTGTTTCTACAAAAAGCAGGGATTTTTATAGAAAATGCAACCAATCCTTACTTGAAATCTGAATTATTAAAAATCATTTGATATTGGTAAGTGAAGGCTTCAAGATCCATGAAATTATTTATTTTGTGAAGAATTTGAGAGTTGAGAAGTTCACATGTCTGGATTGCTTCAGCATGAAAGTCTTCATTGGTGGTGCCCCTAATGCATTTGTTGTGATAGCATGTTCAGGATATTCCTTACTTGAAAATGCTAGGAAAGGATTGTGTACATCAAGATTTATTTCACTACAAAATTTGTCATTCTTTCACAATTTGCTTATTATTTGCAATTAGTGGAGCTTAAATGCTCTTTTAAGGTCTTCGATGTTCTGGAAGATTTGAATGTCTCATGTAAAATGTTTCATTATTACACTGCACTGAATTATGTCAGTTTATGACAAAACATATCTATTGTGTTCCAGTGAAAATGTATATTTTTTTAATTTTTTGTCCTTTTTTTCAGTTTTAGTATGCTGAAAGAAATATTACAAAGTCTCTTTTATGGATGGAATATGGGGAAAGAATTCCTTCTCAAACAATTGCATTCTTCTCTCACAATAGTTTTTGTAAAGATTAGGATTTATATGTGTAACAAAGCCAGTTTCTTGCAGGTTTGGCAATGCGGAGGCATTTTGGAAATAATTCCATGTTCTCACGTGGGCCATGTGTTCCGTGACAAGTCTCCGTATTCATTCCCAGGGGGTGTGTCCAATATTGTGTTACACAATGCAGCTCGTGTTGCAGAAGTGTGGATGGATGAGTGGCGCGATTTTTATTATGCAATGAATCCAGGTTAGAGAAAGATTGTTTTGGGAAAAATACGTGTGAAAGATTTAGTAGCTGCTAACATCACTTCATGAAAACTGTTCAGTGACTAAACCACTTGCATTTGTTCTGGTATCACTCTGCTTAAAATGTGGAATCCTCTTTTGCTCTTGTGGGGTTTGCAAATGTAGCACTTAGTACTGATGGTACATAAGTAATGTAAATTGAATGCTCAAGTTTTTATGGCTCTGAATATTTCAAAGCATAAGCAAATATTTTGTAAAGAAGATAGTGATAATTCTTACACATTACATACTTTGGAAGATCATTTCCTTTTGTCTGTCTTCAGAACTATTTGCTACAGTTGCCATTTTGAAAGGGGCTACTAATGTATGTAAGTTTGTTTTTAGATATTCTAATCTAATATTATGGACTTTTATCCCACTAACAACTTTCATTATTAAACAATGTACCAAGATGGAGCAAATAGAATTTCCTTACAACTTAATTGATTAGGTATTCTGTATTCACCTCTAAAAGTTGCTACTTGTAGATTTTTTTAATCAATTGTATCCATCAATTTTTAATCAATCTTATTTCAGTGAACCCTGAAATAAGTCACTTGTCTGGTGCCCTTAACAATAAGATAGGATCATGAAATGCATCTAAGTGTAAAATTGCATACAAGGAGTTCTAAATTAGTGTTAAGGTGTTAATTGGTGGTGCTTCTTATCGAAATGGTTTCTGTGTATGTTAAGATTTTAATAGGGTAGCATCAAGTGAGTAAAGTGGGACAAACATTTTCCATTGTTGTCTATGCCACATACATGTACAAAAGATGATTGTGGATTAAGCTCCAGGAGGAATGCGAACTTTTAAGATTCAGGAAGAATTGCTTGCCATTCAGGAGGATGGAAGAAATCTCTTTTCTATGGGCTTTGTTTGTTCTTCATTTTTCTCAAACTACAGTCAGTTATTTATATTTTATCTTGAGTATTCTTCAGATGTACCAAAATTTCTCTTGCCTCTAATTAAAGGAGGGTAAATGTTGAAATTCTGGTTGTTAAAAAAATTATGTATGCACTAGTCTATTACAAATTTTTTTGCATATTTTGCATTTTGGAAGCAAGCTTAGATTTTAGAAAATTTGTTTGTCATTTCTGTAACTTTTTCGCATATTTTCATGGCTTGTGTTCCATTTTAAACATAACATCTTCACTGCACTTTTCTTTCCCCCCTCCCCATTTTTTATAATTCACAACGATGAATTTTATTGTGAAAATGCATGAACATTAAAACTTGAGATTGTGTGATTACCATTTTGCATGACAATAACCACATTGTTAGAGAAGTCTTCTTTTCCAAGCCACCTAGCAAGCGTCACTGGTCAAATCTTTTCTATGTCCCTGGGTAATTTTTCTAAAGTGTTTTTCTGTGACCTTAAAAATATTATGCACTGCACAGTTTTATTCAGATCACCATCTTATTCTGTTAAAAATTCTTTTCAAAAGTTGCTTAGTTTTATTCTTTAAGTAGTTTGTTTCATGAAACTCCTTGACACGGTTGCAGTACCTCAGGACTGTAATGAGTCTTGATGCAGAGAAAGCCTGTAATGTCATAAGGTTTAGAATATTTAGTGCATGCCCAATGTAGGTCATACAAACAAAAAAGCTGACAGTGACTCTTGTGTAACTGTGAAGGAAACCAAACTAAGTCCTCTTTCTCCTTTTTCCATTTCCTCATCCATTTGCGGTGGCCTCCTTCAGATGGATGCTGGTTTTTTTGTAGGTTTGGATGTGTGGTGGCGTGTTAGAAATAGCTACGTGCTCTCATGTGGGTCACGTGTTCCGTAAGTCCACTCCGTATACTTTCCCTGGGGGCACATCTAAAATAGTTAACCATAACAACGCACGCCTTGCGGAGGTATGGCTGGATGAGTGGAAGGAGTTCTACTACAGCATTAACCCAGGTCAGAGGACTAACAAATTCCTAACCAAGGTGGGATAATGCCCTCTGTTGCAAATGCAAGGAAGTTTCTCCTCGTACTGGAAGTAAGAATATTACTCTCGTGTTTGGTCTATCCCTTTTGTGATGGTGTGTTCTTTGCAGATATTGCTCAGGTCCTCTTGACTCAGGGTTTGGACAAATCCTTGTCAAATTTTCTTCGAGTTCTATCCATATTCTGTGTCTTGCTGTTATTTTACCTGCTTTTGTGGAATAACGATGTTACATGGGAACAACAGTGATTTATTAAGTATTCATGTTTTAGGGCCCTATGGATTGTGAAATCATTTTATCAGTCATTAAAAAAGAAATTTTTGAAAATAGCCTGATTACAGTCTGAAGTAGTTAGTTTTTGTTTTATTTTCCTTCTTGACTTGAAGTATTGTATGAAATGTGACAAACTAAACTAAAACAGAAACCTTAAATATTTTAAAAGATATTCAGGATTATTGTAAACTTGTTTTAATTAAGGCAATGTTCAATCTTGATCAATGTGAAAATTGTCATTTTAACTCAAATTAATATGTTAGTTTCAAATGCTGGTAACTGTAATAATTACAGGGACAAAATAAAGGAAAATGAATAGAAAACTTTTGTTTCTTAGATTACATTAAATTGGGCATTAAAGTGTTCTTTCCTAATTTTCTTGGTAGTGTCTAAAAATTGCTATGGCCAACACATTATATGCAGAGAATGCATTGGATTAGTATGTGCTTTTAATATTTGAGATATTTTCTGTTGAACTTTCTTGCTTTCTTTATTGCAAAAAGTAAGCAGATGTGGCATTTTCTCACCTATGATTTTATCAAATAATGTAATTGTATGTGTGTGCTCATTGGTATGCCTTGTATTGCATATTGTGGCTTCAGCAGTCGTGGTTTGAAACTGCATGTTACATTACTAACAAAGCTTTGTAATTTCAATAAATTACATATGTGTGTATCTGCATTTGCTTTTTTGTTTTCTTTAAAACCATTATTATTCTCTTGTTCAACTATTTAAATTTCAGGTGCAAGAAATGTTGATGTTGGGGATGTGTCTGAAAGGAAATCACTTAGAGAAAGACTGAAATGTAAAAATTTCCGGTGGTATTTAGAAAATATTTATCCGGAATCTCAAATGCCTTTGGATTATTATTATTTAGGAGATGTAAGTAAATATGGTTAAGAAAATTGTTAACTATTACTGTATTATCAAACAGTTTAATAAATGCATGTTGTTTTTCAGATTCGCAACGCTCAGAGCCAAAATTGCTTAGATACATTAGGAAGGAAAGGTGGAGAAAATTTGGGCATGAGTTATTGCCATGGACTTGGTGGCAATCAGGTAATTTAGAATTGCACCTCCATTGGTCTTGCTTTTTCAGCCAAACGTGTTAAAGCGTGTTCAGCTAAACCCCTTCTCTCCATTTGCTCCCACCGTGTTGAAGGCTAGCCCTGTCTTGCCCAAAGCAGACTACAATCCTTAAATTCCATGTTGCATTAAAACAAATTTTGGGTTTAAAAAAAAAAAAAAAAGAATTTATCTAGCCTTATGTATTCTTCATAAGAAGAGAAAGTTATGTAATCCAGAAACGCCGAAATTTTGCCTGGAAAAACATTATTCCCAGGTTCTATTATCGAAAAAGTCGATGTATCTGCTGTATCTGTTGCTAAATGTAGAAAAAAATCCTCTAACCCATGATGTAGCTAGAACCCATGTTTTGATTCATGATACTGAAAAATTGTTTAATGGCAAAAGGTCTGTCCATCTGTGTGTGGTCAATGCTAGTGGCTAAACCGTTCAGCTGATTTCTTTCCAAAATTGATATTCCCCAACCCATGTTACGTCCCCTGGAATTTGAAACGGATATTTTAATTGGAGGGGGGGGTACTTTACATGAAGCCTCTTGGATATTTTCAGTATTTTCAAAAGAACATCTCAAATTTATTTTATGAAATTTTGATGTTCAGTTGTGTGAAGGAGATTTAAGAGAACGGTGTAGGTCTCATTTTCACTGATATACCTTTTTTTTTTCTTCTAAAATTGCAAAAATATATTTTAAAACTTCAAAATTTAAGATTTTAGGTTTTTGGCTCAGTCTGTCTGTTGTACAAAATTCTGTCTTTCAAAATGTACATTTTTTGTAAAAGGTAGTAGTTTTTGCGTAATTGGTGCTTGAAATTTACGAATTTATTTATTTTCACAAAAAGCGGAAAAATAATTGACTGTTTGAAAACAGTTTTGCTGGTTTATGTAGTAGTATAATATTGTGGCCTCAACAACAAAGTTTTAAAAGAATTAGCTCCTTTTTGAGTAATTGTCGTCAGCATTGAGTGAGCCATGATGTGGGATCGCATTTATGCGAGCCTAGCAATTTTCTTGTTTGGCACATCCTTTCATAAAGATTAGATGATTCCATTGTGTTATTTTATAATGGTAATAAGTTTTTGGTCATTGCATTTTCTCTAAAGAACAGTAAAAGTTTAATTATAATTTTAACTAAAAGTTAAAATCAGAAAATGCATCAAAAGTGATCGTTTTTTTTCACCTTTGCACCATCCTTCTGCTTAGATGTAAATGTTTCAGCCTACCTTGTTTCTGCAGTACTTAAATTAAAAAAATTATAGGACTAGGAATGAGATAACCAAATATCAATTCAATGTCAGAATACACATGAGAATAAGCCATAAATGGAAATACAGTAGATTCCGGTTGTAGTGAACCCTTGGTTATAAAGAACTTAAGTGACTTGCCCCCGTTTACTTCAATTATAAAAATATCAAGATAAGAAATATTTGAAAAATTAAAAAAAAAATTAATTTATTAATTTATGTTTAACTTTTACTCATCTTTCAACTATTTATAGTTAAAATGTCAGGAAGGGATTCTAGAACTCAAAAAAGCGTGTGCAGATAATCTCCACATCACATACAATTTTTACTGTTTTTTTGACTGAATAAACCTAAATCATTTCAAATAAGCAAAAGAAAATTTCAGTTTTAGTGAATCTGAATTGTGGTTATAGGAAGTACGACCTAGAAATCAATTCTCCCATCCTGGAAAAGAATGTATGTCCTCAGTGCCACAAACTCCAACACTTGGAAGCTTGAAAAAAATATTGGCCAAAGGTCATATTTGGAAAAGTCTCCCTTGAGACGTTTTGTATTCTACATGGATAAACGGTACCGTGCAACTGACACGACCCCACAACCTCACGATACCCACCGTGCCACGCAGAAAAGCGATCAGTTTCATTAGCCGATTGTGCCTTGCCACTGTCAAAAGGATCTCATGTTATTAGGAGAGTAAAAGGGCCTTTGAAGAGTGCACGACACATTGAAGGGTGCCAAGACTGCATTACGATACTTCGAGACATACGACAATCAGAATCAAGTATGGTGAGAGCACGAATGTCTAGAAAAGGATCTAGAGAAATTAGTAGTGGAAAAATGTACGAAGCAAACAATTAAAAATTATTGATTTCTTTTAATGGACCAATTAAGATATTGAAATTTTCATTTCATGCTGTTAATGTATTTCGTGTTATATCTACATATTAATAAAATCAATCGTGAAGAAATTCTATTTAATTTTGTTATCTTTGAATATAGTGAACCAAAATTGTTAGTCCCCAGACGTTCACTATAACGGGCCACTGATGTCACATGCCGTGCAATGAACCCAACACACTCGCATCTCCAAGATGTCAAAAGACAGAAACATGAAAAAGTCGAGGAATTTTGGAAGGTCAGAAGTCTGTGTAATGTCATGGACTCTGTAGTTTTATTTTGCCTCTTCATTTATCCCTTCTTTTTAAAATTCATATTGTTTTATGAAAATTAGAGTTTACATGGAAAAGCCTATTCTGATACAGCTGTATTGTGCACAGGTTTTTGCCCACACCAAGCGAGAGCAGATCATGTCTGATGACAATTGTTTAGATGCTTCAAGTCCAGGGGGGCCTGTAAAGCTAGTGCGCTGCCACGGAATGGGTGGCAATCAGGCTTGGGTATACAATTCTGAGGTAAGCAGCTTTGTAACCTTTTTTGAAAAAGCATTTAAGTTCTTTAAAATTGTCATTACTATTAAATTTCTAACATTGTTAGGATATTTGTCTTATGTTAACTCAAGTAATCAAAAAGACTAATTATACTGTAGTGAAACCAGTGAATTCCTCATTATAACATGGTACAGTGAGAAAAATATTTAGCAAATTAATTACATGTAGTTGTATTTTCACTAAACTGTTGGCAAAAATAGGATATTCACTGAAGAAGAAGAATAAAAAATGTATGCCAATTAAGAAGTAGCATGTGGGTGCCACAGAAAATGGCTTAAAAAAAGGCCACTTGTTTTATTAGTTTGAATTAGTTTCAATGGGAGTTGGTTCTAAGATTTAGGCAAAACACTATTATATTATGAGATACATGGATACTCTCATATTTTTAGCACTAGGTGGTTGTATTTCATTTCTATTATATACTGTAAAATTTAAATTGCTTAATAATGCGGTATAAATTTAATTTTCATTAAGAACTCGGAAATTTTGAAATCTGTCCTTCATTTTCAGTATTGAAAATAGTCATTTTTTATACTTTCTCGCTACTGCTTATGCAGAAGAAAGAAAGCTATGTAATGTTGCGAGATAAAACAGCGAATTCACGGCAGAAAAACTCATTACGGGACACTGGTAAAGAAAAAGTGGATAAATCCAGTTGCTAAATTGGGGAGGGGGAATTGTCTCACATGTGGTGTAGTCAGAATCCGTTTTGTGACTCCTTGATACCAAAAATTTGAGTGATGACTAAAGTCTGACTGTCCGTGAAAAATGCTAACAGCTAAACAGTTCAGCCGAAGTTCTCCTAAATTGATATTCTGTAATCAATCTGGCTGATGTTTTGGGACTTTACATGAAACCCATGGGCCTTTTTGAAAAAAATGGCCCTATTGTTTTTGATTAAATTTTGTTGTTGGATAATGTGAAGGACATTTAAGAGAACGGGGAATGAAATTTTTCTTAGATAGATTTTGAAATAACGTCATGTACAATTTTTTGGAAACTTGGAGTTGGAACTTTTCTCGTAATTTTGTGTGAAAGTATGTGCTATTTAGTTCGTAGTTAATATAAGACCATTATTCAGTCCAGGAGTTTTAAGATACTCATCTTCCAAAAACTTACACACTACCCTTTTTTGTTCATTGTTCCTTATGAAATTCCTTATTGTGAAAATTTTCAGAATGGTGTCTATTTTTTTGTAAGTTGATTTTGGATTAAGTGTAAAAATATTTAATTGAATACAAAGATGTTAGGTAATTTTCTATCCAGGATCTAAGGGATATGAAGGTATAATTTTAAATTCGCAAATATTAAACACTGGCCATTGTCTTTTCTAAGTAACTCACATTTAATTATTGAGTTCACTTCAGGATTCTCCTAACCTGTTGTATCTTGTGGCCCACCCAAATTGTAGTGGAATTTGGTGATGAAATCCATGAATTGGTGACAAAACAAAGATGCTGACAATCGTCCTGGCTTCTTGATAAAAATTTGATCTGGAAAAGAAGGAAGTTGGTGAAATTTGTTCCTGAAAAAGTGGACACCTTACTAGAGGTTTACTTAAATTATGATAATCATTATAAGGACGTCTAAGTAATGTGTTTTCTTTATGCAGGATGGTATTATCAAGCATGTGAACACAGGCCAATGTCTTCAGATGCCAGATCCTCATGATATGTCGCAGCCTCTCCTACGAAATTGTGACGGCAGCAAAGGTCAAAAATGGGTCATGAAGAGCAAGTTTCGATGGCAGGCAACTGCGAGCTAACTGATTGCATGAGTCACATGTAATCTAAAAGCTTGCTCTGGGCATCATTAAAATGCTGTTCATTGTTCTTTTTAACAAACAATACAAGGATGGGGGTAGTATTTTAACTTCCCTTGAGTGTAGGTGTTGATCACCTCACATCATTTCTTAAAGCATATCATTGTTGATCCTGTGTGACTACAAATTAACATCTAAAGGATGTATTTTACATTTTAGTGGGTGACCAATTAAAGCTCATGGGCTAAATGCTCATTTGCCAAATTCAAGTGCTGGAAACACTAATGGTTATCGAAGAACACATATTTCTACTTAATGTTTTAATCTGTTAAAAGTATTATAAGCTCCCCTTTTGTTATGCAAAAATTTGTCCAGCCATTAGGTTTGAGACAACTGTACTGAAATTATCTTCCAAGTGCAAGGTATAAATTTTGTTCCACATTTTAGGTTATAATTATCAAGTGTGTAATCAAGAGTACTAATTCGTTCCAAGTTTTCTATATTTCATGGTACAAACATAAATATGAGAGTCAGGAAGTTTTCTTTAGCTGTCAGTTGTATAATTTTGAGGTTAAATTTTAATGATCCTCATAACGTATTACCTCTTGTTTCATTTTATATCAATTTCTTACTTAATGTCAGGATGTTTAAAAAACATTGTCATATCAAAGACTGGACAGTGTTACTTTATATTTAGTTCTGAGAAATGGGACCATGTTTGTAGCAATAGTTTCCTGCATCGATTGTACTTAATCCGCTTGGTCCCAGTCTCAGTGAGTGAGAAAGCACCCTACCTTCAGAGTGCATTTACCTGTATGGTTGCCTTAAAGGTTGAATGTGAAGGTATTGGTAATATTTCGTGGAACTTGAGGCATGACAGTATGCTACCTCTCACATCTGCGTATGTTTTTACATATTGATATCAATTCCAGGCAACCCTGTTCTGTCAAAGAACCCTTTTTCTGTAATGAACTATTAGTGAAGTGACTATAGATGTTTTTTTCACTTGTCTAAGAGCAGAAGCCTTTTTGTATTGTACAGATTCATTCCACTGTATAAAAGTGTGATCAATTAGATCAGTAGAAATGAACTATGTATTTTTAAATGCTATTGATACACAGTTGAAGACCATGATCATTGCAATATCATTGTTAGAACAAATAATTTGAGGGTGACGGTGCTTTGTGCAGTCTTTTTATCTTTGTTGTATGTTCCTCTTATTGAGACTGCAATTTGTTTATTTTATAATTGTTGGGATTTTTATTTGTCTAATTACATAATCACATTCAGGGTTACTGCATGTAATTTCCATTATCAAAATTACTAGTAGCTGTTTTATTTTCTGTGCTGTTTCCAGTTGTGCCAAGATCACTTATTTGATTTAACGAGGTTAGGAAGTTTGAATGCTTTTAAGTGGCGAAAATTCAAATTTGCTTAATGCTCAATGTTAGATATACTATGTATATATATGATTAAGTCTACTCCCCTGAAATGAAACTGCATTGTAGATAAAGCACCATTACAAGTTAGCAGGGATTTGCTCATTGGATAAAATGGTTTATTCTAGGTAACTCTGAATGAGATTGGATATTGCAATAACAGTATTATTTTTTGTTAATACAATCTAGTGTTGAAAATTAATCATGTATATTCCACTGAATTTGGTTGCATAAGTATTTTTCTATTTCATTTTAATGTCAGTGGAATGTGCCTGTTTTTTATGCATTCCATATGTTGCTAATATGTTTTACAGCACTGTTTCTTGCTTCTTTGAAGTCTAACAAAATACACTGAATTATTGTTACAATATTTTTCTATGATTTCAACCCTTGTTTCAAGAAAAGACAAAACAAATGGATGGTATGACAATAGTTTATTAGAATTATGATACAATCATTTTACTGCTCCTTAACTTCACGCAATCTCCTAACAGCAGATCGTACAGAAGCAGCAGCAGTTGTGCTGTACACCCATGCACCTCCAGCCACAGTACGCTTGCATCGCTTACACGACCAAATGCCTACACAGGAGCGCTTCATAGCATCCTGCAAAAATAAAAAAATTAAAGTATTAGGGAACAATCATGTGCAATCTTTTACAATTAAACTAGGCAAGGTGCTTATTAAATCTTTAACTGAATGAGTATGTGATTGCTTCAAACAATCAGTTTCTTTGTGCTAAACAGATTACAGTATGCCCTATGGACCAGACAAGTGAAATGAATTGAGATTGTAATAGTACTAACTTTTCAAGTGTATAAACTTAATACCAAAACTTGGTGGGCCAAATTGGTAGGATTTGTTTATATTTCACCAGAATCAAGGTGGTAGAGATTATGAGAGGGGGAATTTTAAGCTACTTGCGAAACTTACTGCTCACAGTCTTGAATTAAATTAAGTGTTGTTCACACCACTCGACCCTGATACTCCTATCCCCTCATAGAATTTATATTGGAATGTATGAAACGAGTCCAATGTTCGAAGAACTTTAAATGTTACAAGATGTCCAGTAATAATATCCCCAAAAAATACTGAGCTGCTTGAAAAGTAATATATCCATCTAGTGTGGCATGTTTTCTTGCTGAGCTTATGGTCACCTAGTTTCATTGACAAGACAAGAGCTTTGTAGCAATTTTTGATTAATCTTGCTTTTTCAAATGCGAAAGTATCTTGCCCTGGGTTCAAATACAAGTGTCCTACTAGTTAGAAAAATGTCACCTTTTAAATATTTCATAAATGTGGTTTCAAATAAATAGAAAATTTGGTTTGAGGGCCAAATTACTTCTAATATCAATCCTACACGCCATGCTTTATGGGTTCTCAGGGCTGATACCACAATATTCATGATTGTTCTGCAAGAGCTGGAAAGTCAAGCCAAGAACTGGAAATTTGAGATTTACATTATATTTTCCATCAGATTTATACGTCTTTAAAAATATCAGGTGGGGCCAAGGGCTAGTATTTGGAAATTTCTGGGATCAAAGACCGCCTTTGTTTTTTTGTTTGGAAATGTGGTGGTGACCAAGGACTAGAATTCTTTCTAATAAAATGGATCCCTCTCTGGCAACCAGTAGTGTATGTTTACATTGCTTATGTTTATCCTGACTAATTTTTAACTTGGGGAAAACTGATTTGATCAAATCCCTTATTACTTTCCAACTGAGGAACTATCAACTATTGTACATTATAACATATGAAAACTGTCCACTACACATCTGAGAAGTTGCATTTAAATTATCAGCCATCTGTCCTAACAGATTACCTAATAAAATGAAGTATGCCATAACTAGCACAATGAAATCTGCCAAGACAGTCAATTGTTCACTTCCCTTCATGGTCATTTTTTCATGGAACTGACTGACTAACCTGTAAGACATGTATAGAATTTCTTTAACTAACCTGTCTCTACGACCAGTCTCATTTCATAGATAAACCAGTATGACCACAACTACACAGGAGCAAAATTAGTCCACATCAACACTTCCCAAATTTGATTAGCCTTGGACCAGTAGCTATCTGTACTAATGGCCAATTTTTCCCCAGAAAACCACTTGGAAGGTTTTCTCAGTATTCATCTCCACACAATACTCACTCAGCAGTAATAAACAGATATTATAATATAAGCCAGTAAAACAAAGGATAAGAATAGAATTAACTCATAGTATAACTAAAAACAATGGCTAATGAATGTCACAGTAAAGATTACATAAGGAAAAACTGCTTTCTTTTATCCAGTTCATTATATCAAATTTCAGTCCCGTTGACATCCAGTGCTAAACCTACTCTAATTACACCAAGCTGCGATTTATCCAACTCTGCCCATGGAAGGTATCAGCTGTTGATGGTTGCAACCAATCAGGAGCTTCAACATCCCCATAGCGATGTCACTATGGTGGCATTCAAGCTCCTGATTGGATATAACCAACAGCTGATACCTACCAGTGGCAAAATCACAGTTTAACTGCCATTTCACAAATAAAATTGGAAAGAAATTAAGGTCTTGGTGGGACCCTAATGGTCTTAAAGAATTTTTACTCAACCATGG